TTTAAAAAGTGAGATTAAAAAGAAGAAACCAGAGGGGTAAAAGTTTTACAAATAAATTCTAATTCAGGCGTCAAATGCCTTCATGATTGTGCTTTAGAAAGATGCAGGTCCAGTGCCAATATGTTAATAACAGTGACTTTATTTTTATTTTTTTGTATGACCATCTTGCTTCAAGTTCAGGTGCCACCATTTGTCATGGAGGTAGCTAAGATGTACTTCTTTCCTTATTGAAAAGTTGATAAAACACTTGAAACCCACTTTCACTTTTAAATAAAAGCATTTTTTGAAATTCTTTTCTAGTTTAAAAGTGCGTGGTTAACTGTACCTGCACAAAAAAGTGAGTGGTTTTTCTGAGAGCCTTTTGGGTTTAGATGGTTTGCTTCTTGCTTAAGGTTTTAGTTACCAGATCTTTACCTTAAGTCACAGTAGCCTTTGAAGAGAAAATTTTGATACTGAGTATCTGGTAAAGGAGTTTGTGATACCCCCTCTGTTCTTAATACACATGGCCTTGATGGCAACAGAAACTGAGAAGAAGAAAATATTGGCCACAGCATGAGCAGTCTTTTTGGTATATTGAGTGTTTTTCCACACACTCTGTGAACTACCAGCTGAGATGTACCAATGACTATGGAGGCATGCAGTGCAGGTGAAATTCAGATCGTAGCAGATAATCTTCTTTTTTTTGCTTATGTTCAAGAAATTAGATTGAGGAAGATGTTAGATAGTTCATACAACCTGCTAGTTTTTGGGTGGCTAAACAGCAAGTTAAATAATGTATGATTTTCAAACTTTCACAATGTGGACTATTCCTGGAAGAGCAAGGGCTGTGGAGCAGGCTTTCCTCTGTAATGAACATGTAAGAAAACAAAGCATAGGATCTGCTAATGTGCCTAGAAAGTGATACTTCCCAGTAATTCAGCAGGCAGTGTATGCTGTATATACTTCACACACTTTACAAAAAGAAAATACTTTACTGATACTATATATGTTTTAAGTGGGTTTAGGTTTACTCTCAGGACCAGAAATCATGTCCAAGTAAATGTATAGGAAGACAATAGGAATGACAAAGCTTACCTCAGGATGGTTTATGAGTTGCACCAACCTATCTGACTTCTGTTCTGTTGTCCTGGTTTAGTGTTATCCCATTTCTTCTTTCCTGGGAAATCAATTTTCCATTTGGCTTAAAACTTTACATAGGGTTTAACATTTCCTTTTGTATAGAAGTTATTAAGTATTGCTGCATCTAAATTATCTGGCAAAGGCAGCAAGCATATTGTGTAAAATGTGTCCTTTTACCTATCATGCCCTTACTGGATCAGATACGCAATTTTTTCAGCATTTGATGCCTTTAGCTGGGTAATCATAGGGACTATTTTTAGCATCCAGAATTGGAGGCACTGTCTGCAGAGAGCTCTCTGTTAAATGGCAGATTCAGCTCCCTTTTTGTGCAGCTGAGGCTTGGCAGTTTGATCCAAGTTCATGCATTTCATTCAAAAGTAAAGGCAATCATCTTCTGCTGTGTTTTTTCCAATTGCCATTCCAGCTGAATTATTTGTAATAATTACTGTGTTGTCTCTTTTTCTTCCTTTATGTTGTCAGGAGCAAACAGAGTGGGTAAGTAACCAGAGCTCATAGTTGAGTACAGATATGAATAGAGGTGCTGGGGTAGCTACAATTATATATTAAGGATGGAAGGATTTGTCTTCTGAGTCTAAAAAAAACTGAAATTGCTTTTCAGCTATTGAAGTATAAAAATTCTCAGTAACACAAATTATAGTCATCCAATTAAGGCACATTTTTTCTAATTTTCCTCCCAGTCCTTTCAAATTATTGAGGAAAACATCAAAAGAAGCAAAACTGAGGCAGCTGTTGGTCCTGAAACTAGCTTCGTATAAACAAGTTAGACACACTGTTAATGTCTCTACTGGAAATACAAGACAAACACAGCCTACCTGCAGAAAGCCACAAGTATTTTCTCATGAACTAGTGTTTTTTTGATCAGGACTGGCTGATTTCCTAACTGTAGCAAAGATGGGGCAGGAGAAAGCTGGCACTGTCTTTAATAATGCATACCATGTCTAGTAATGAGTTAAAGACTGTGTCCTCTGATAGCAGTTTCCATATTACAATAGTAGAGAAGGACTGATACACAGCTGGCTGTGAAGCTTTCCATTGTTGTGGTTGTACAAGTGACTAATGAGAGTCATGATGTACTGGGATACAAAGAAATTGAAATTTATCTGAAACTGCGTGCTCTGACATGATTCAAATACCAGTGGATCAGTGAAAGATTCCCATTGGCTACCTGATTTTGGATTAGGCTTTATGCACCGTGGTTGCTGTCCCCCTTGTTTTTTACTTCAAGAGTGTGCAGGAAACAATAGCCTTTCCTTATCTCAAACTGTATTGGTTTTCATATGAAATCATAGCTTCCTGCAGAGCAATTAATTTTCTTGACACTTCAATTAGTAGTTTCAACCCAGGGAAGAGTGATGAACATCGATCCTGACACGTGACCTATATGGTCTGGTTGTTTAAACTTCTTCTGTCCAGTATTTGGACAGAACAAGTTTCCATTATTTTTTTAGGCTCAGCTGGCTAGTCGGAGATCAAAATTTACTTCATACAGTGCTATGTGATCACTTTATAAGGAAGATTTTTTTTAAGCATGAACAACAATGTAAGACCTTCGAAATAAGAGATCTTTCTTATTCACTCTGTCAAAACTTCTAAAGGAGCTCATTCATGTGTTGAGTTAGAAATCATTTCTCCTTTTGTTGTATGTGTACAGAACTGTGCAGTTTCCAAATTTCTTACCTACTTTACTATAATTCCATCTTAGTTTGTACTTACAGACACATTCAGCATATGCACACAAATTGGATCTAAGGGTCAGATGCAGTTTATGGCGGGTTTTGTGTGTGCATCTTTTCTGAAAAAGAGAGTAACATATGATGTTACTGTAGAGACATACCAAATTTTGGGTATGAGACTTTTGGACAGTATTACAAAATGAGCTTAAAAACTGTTTCAGCTAGGAGGCCTCTGCCAAGCACTGGTGTATGTGTGCAAAAGGAAAGGTTGTAGATAAAACGATAAAGATTCAGAGTGAATGCTCAGCATTATTTAATATATTGGTCCTTGCTAATGAAGTAATATGAAAACAACCTAAAATTTTTTGTTGGAGGTCAGTGAGTGTTAAGAACTGCTGTTAGACTGGAAAGGCTGGAAAGAATAACTGATGCATGGGGAAAATGGGAAAGATGGATGCAGAAGCTGACTTCCATTGCACTATAGGATTGCTCTGAGGGATTCACACTAACTACTTAATATATCTTGTGCCCCTCACTGTGAGAGGCAATGCTTGCATGCTTCTGAGAAATACATGAAGATGGGGCTGTGAAGATGACAAATGATAAAGATCATATAAATAACTGCAGAAGAGAGAAGGATATATTTTATTTAGGCTCTGTGTCTTGCAGAACATTTTGGGGGACAGAGATCTTGAATGGAACTGCTTACCTTCTTTTTAAGGACACATACAGGAAAGTCACATTTATAAATGATGCATATCATTTACAAATGTGTACATTTGACAATGCGTTAATCAAATTTGAGAAGTATGAACAATAAAAATTTTGTTTAGCTTGTGGCCAGATTGCTTTCCAGCCTAAAAGCAGTGTGCTGTGAATATAATGAAGTGTACCATGCCTTCTGTCTCCCGCTCCCTTTTTGTGCTACAAGAGTGAAGCAAAGGAACAAGTCATCTACAGTCATCTGCAGAAGATAGCATTTACTCCTGTTCTGAACCTTATACTTCATTACCAGCACAGGTTGCAAACTGATCAGAGCAGTGGCTGTTTTCTTCTTCTTATCTGTTGGAGTTGGATCAGGTTCATCAATTGAATCTGTATGGGAATCAAATCAGACTCTCCTGATTTGAATCTGAGAACCACAGCCCGTTATTAGAAATCTGTGCAAGGACATGGAACTGTGTTCTTCCATATGAAGAGTCACAAATCTTAATCTTTTATTGCTTATATTTCATGGTGAAAAGCAGTTTAATAATTTGTGGCATTACGATGTGGACAAGACAAAAGATTATTTTGCAAGTCTTCAGTAGTTTTTGCAAGCCTTATCCACATAATGGTTCCTGTTGTAGCTCTATCTCTAGAAATCAAACAAACTGAGATTCTTAAATATGTGCTTAACTGTAAACCACAGGGGCGATCCTTCATCCTACAGATGGGACATGACCCATTTCTGTTGAAGTGATTAACTCTTGGCAGAACTAGGGCCACGACTTTCACGTGTATTGGTTTCCATAAGATTTTTTGCTGATTGTGTTTGAGTTGATTTAACCTCTTCAACAAATTACAACATGGCAATATTTGTGCAGCTTGCTTATTACTATATTAACTGTTTATCCTGTCACAGAGAAGAAAACTGCTTTAAAAGCTTTAATCGGTAAAATGTCTGCAAAATTCTCTGTGTTTTGTGTGGGTTTCTAATGGTATTTTTGTTTAGTTTATGTATCACTCTTCCTGTCACTCAAGAAGTGCATTTCACAGTGAGACATCTTTCATTGCTCTTTGAACCTTCATTTGAGGAATTTGCATCTCCTTAAGTACTGATAAGAGGAACCATTAGCAGTATGTACTTGAACAGCTTTTTATAGAGTAAAGTAGATTGTGATTTTGGTGGTTTGCAAATGCCAAGAGCTTGATTTACAGAAATGAAGAATGACAGCTCCCCTTCTGGAAATGTAATGGAAAAATGTTTATAATTTGCAAACCGCTGGGTAAACTTGTGCATTAAATGTGAATCAGCTGGAAGGCCTATAGGGCAAATTAAACACAGATGAAAAACATGGCATAGTCTTGTAGCATAGCATCTGTAGAGCTTAACATTTGACTGAGATAACCCTGGCAGCACTCCTTTACTCCGTATTTGTTCTGGTGATTTAGGACCTCCTCAGACCAGCAGCGGAAATGAGCAGCACTCATCAGCCTCTATCTTTGAACATGTGGATAGGATGTCGCGTTCCTCAGATGCCAGTAGACGGGTCCCAAGCAAGATCCAGCTGATTGCTATGCAACCAATGGCAGCACCTCCGGTTCAGAACTCGGTGCTTTCCGATCGAGTAGCTGAGACCAACAAAATTAATAAAGAGGTATTTTTAAAGTGCTTTGAATGTCTGTGGAGGACTGTATACACAGCCAAGAGGGAAGTGAAAAGTACCCAGTTTCTTCTTATCAGGAGTTACCCATTAGTTCCTGAGGAGTTGAGTTTTGACAAGTTACAGGAATAATCCCATTTCTGTCCAGAGAGGTAATCTGACCTGTTTTTGAGAGATACCTAAATCAAAGCTTAAACACTGAGAGAGAAGCAAATTTGATGGTCAGAATACCTTGTGTTGCCATCTTTTTGCTAGTCAGCAGGACATGACTTATGAGGGTTGTGTTAATTAATGTAAGAGTATTGGAATATCCGGCCCACCTTGGTTTTCTACGCCATTCTTTTGACATTTCAGCAACTTGGGATCTGGTTGTCAAACAGGTAATCAACAAGACAGGTTATCTCAAGACATTCTGGGGTGTAAATTTGCAGCACATTTACTGCTTCCAACTTCTGATGTGTTTATCTGACAGTAAACATACAGAAACTTCCTGCTTTCTCTGAGGCTCACGCTACTGTCAGCAGAATATGAGCATGCCTAGGGCATTAGGAGAGATGGTAATGTGCTGTGAAACCATATCATACCCTGCCTGACAGTACCTTGTACTGGGTGTAAGATGGCATCTCTCATAATTCAGAGTGGAAGATTACTGAAACCTTTAACTTCACTGTGTTAAGATGTTTCTGAGTACCTTACTCAAGAGAGGTGAATGTGTATATTTAGTATACACAGGCAAGAGGAGCCACAAAACAGAAATCCAGTATATGGCAGAAGACATATAATTCTAATTATAAATGTAAAAAGTCTGGCTTGTGACCTTTTCATATTTTTCCAGGATTTTCACCAGAGAATACACAAAAATCAAATTTTACTTGGTTTTTCATTTGCTGATGCAGATGTGTCCAGGAACTAGTCCAGTACAGGCAGAGCAGTGGTTGCTACCTGATCTGGTGCCCAAGTGTTTTCTGTTGATAAGAATGATTTCAGTGAGTGTTGGGCCAGTGGTGTTACGATAGCTTTCCCCACATGATGACATACTCTTCATGGAATTTGAAAAAAAAGTGGAGAGAGGCAAGAAAACACAGCCTGCAAAATGTAGAGCTGGTGTAACCCATGTTCATGTAGGGACCTGGGCCCTTCCTTGTATTGCTGCTACATTTCTGCATAGCTTATGGTGGCCTTTCATGCTCAGCAGAAGCACTGAGTTATGAGCTCAGCTCTTTTAAGTTCTTGCTGCTTACATGATGAAGGTCATTAAAGGGAATGGGTGACATATTTCAACACTATTGATCAAATGTATCTCTTTTTGTCAATCAAATGTAGATACGGCTTTTACTGATTTTTTTCAGAGCAGTGTCACTTCTGGCAAACAGCAGGAGTTTTTTGTGTTCCTCCTGCCTTTTGTTAACAAACTGCCACCTCTCTCTCATTCCACCTGCTGTTCTGGCAATCATATTGTGTTTAATAGTGCATCTCCCTGGGGAGACAATGAGGATACTGCAAAATATCCAAGAAAGAAAGTGTGTTTGCAAATTGTGTGACTTCCTTTAATCCTTCAGAGATTTGGGGGAGAAAGGGGAAGCAGGAAGGTAGAGGCAGGGAAGGAGCTGAGGAGGAGAGGTTTACAGAAGAGCAGCAAAAAGTTCTGTTTGCAAAAACTACTCTCTCTTTTCTCCCCTTCCTTCTTTAAGATACAAACAGCCCTGAGGCATAAATCTGAGATTGAGCACCACCGCAATAAGATTCGACTTCGCGCCAAGCGCAAAGGGCACTATGAATTTCCAGTGGTGGATGATGTGGTGGTGGTGGATTCCAAAGAACAGCACAGAATATATCGCAGGGCACAGATGCAGATTGACAAGATCTTGGACCCTGGAGGCAGTGTGCCTACTGTCTTCATAGAGCCCCGGAAGAGGTAAGGATTTCAAAGATGGGAAAGAGCAATTTTCTTTTAAAGTCAGCATTCAAAGGACATCAAGCCTGTACTTCTGAACTTTCAGAGCTTAAACTCGTTTTAATCACTAGTTGAATTTGAGTTATCTAAGTGAAAAAGTTTGAACTGTTTTAAATTATTTGTTTCAGCATATGCCAGTATTTTTTGTTTTCGTATTATTCTTTTACAAGTTCTCAACAGTGAATTCTCAATAAATAAACTCAAATGTATGAAAACTGTCTTAAAACAATTTAGCATTTGATCTGCCATTTGTTTGAATAATTCTTTTGTGACGTAGAGAAATCAGGATTTCAGCATAGGTAGTAAAAGAAGATACGTGGAAAATACAAACTTGCAAGAAATAATATTTTTATAATGGGGGGAAAAGATCTTAGAATCACGGTCTGGGTGGAATGGTTTGGGTTGGAAGAGACCTTAAAGGTCATCCAACCTCCCTGCCATAGGCAGGGACACCTTCCATTAGACCAGGTTGCTCCAAGCCCCATCCAACCTGGCCTTGATGGGTCAGCCACAGCTTCTCTGGGCAACATGTGCCAGTGCCTCACCACCCTCACAGGGAAGAATTTCTTCCTAATACCTAGTCTAAATCTCTCCTCTTTCAGTTTAAAGCCATCATCCCTTGTTCTGTCACTACATACCCTTGTAAAAAGTCCCTCTACAGATTTCTTGTAGGCCCTTTTTAGGTACTGGAAGCTGCTCTAAGGTCTCCCGTGATTCTTCTCTTTTCCAGTCTGAACAAGCCCAACTCTCTCAGCCTGTCTTCATAGGAGAGGTGCTCCAGCCCTCCCTTGAACAACTTAAAAAGCTTGAAGATTCTGAATTTAAATGGCAAATTCACAAATCAAAGAGAGAACCTTTCATGTATTCCCTGTGGGTAAAAAGTGTCATGGACCTGCCTCCCTGGTCTTTTCAGAGGAAGTTTTCCCTGAGCAGTGTTTAGGGCTTATGAATACTGGCACTTTGTTCCCAGAGCAATGGTACCCTGCGACTGCTTCCGCACTGATAAAAAGTAGCTTTTCTCTAGCTACCTGGGTTCCATAGCTTGTTTGCCTAGTAGGCTTAAACTCAACAATGCAAAGCTCAGACCTTTGTTTGCAAATCTTTATGGTCTGTCCTGCTATTGCAGAAGTGTTGACATTGGTCTGAGAGATCTGGAGAAGAACTGGGGGAAGGCTGGAGCACAGACAACTTTAAAAGATGAATGTAGAAGGGATGTGACGCTGGAGAGAGTTTGAAGGAGGAATAAGACAGTTTGGAGAGCTGCCAATGAGAGAAAGGCGGGAGTCAGATTTGAGGCTACCTAATGGGACTGGCATGAAAAAATGGGAAAGGGAAGAGAAACAGGGCTGAGGCAAGGATGACTTGGAATGGGCAGAGCAGGGAGTGGACAGGGGAGTTTAGCCTTGAGTGGCATGCAAAGAAAATCTGCAAAAGAAACATGATCACATTTGTCTTGTTTGTTTGTTCTTTCTCTCTGCTTCTTGTTTTCCTCCTGTTAAGTTCTCGAGCAAAACGTTCTCCCAAGCAGCGCCGGCGACATCAGATAAATGGGAGTCCGATTGATGCAGAAAAGGACAGGTTAATCACAACTGACAGTGATGGGACATACAAAAGGCCCCCAGGAGTCAATAATTCTGCATATATTGTATGTATGTCTCTTGAATGACAGGAGTGTTCTGATAATTGTAATTATAGTTGTGACATTGGGAGGTTTTTTGCCTTCTGACTATGGTCTGTATGGCTAGTTTCAGTCCTATGTGTAGTTAGCATGTAAATCAAAGTGGAACAAGGATTTCATTGGCATTGGCAGACTGTCAGTATTCAGCAGTAAAATTCTGCCACATATTCCTTGATATTAAAGAGGCCAAGAACCAAAACCTTGTTTTCATTAATGTCACTGTATTATGCACATGAAAGTGTGCTTGGCATGTTCTGCAATATCTTAAACATAGTTTCACTCTAGTCCAATTTGCTGGATATTATATATTCATATGTTACAGAAAATTTCTTCCTTTGGTCTCACAGAATGGAAGACTCAGTTCCTTTCATGAGAAATATTCTCATCTTTCAAATATGGGAATTAATTATTAATGAAAAAGAAACATGTCTTTACTACAGTAACTTGAAACAATTCTAGTCCAATGTCTTGAAAATTAATTTTGCTTCCTGTCTAAAAAAGGCAAAGACACTGGAGAATGCTTCTGTTCAATCATATCCATGTCATAAACTGTATTTAGGCATCTTTAACCACTTCTAAGCAGACTTTACTAAGCCTAATGCTAATATTGGAAACCCCTGGACAGTTTTCATCTTGAAAGATGGTTTATTAATTTTTAAGAATTTCACCATTAGCTGCATATGCAGTCAGGTGACTACAATGTCTATTTCTGCAGCTTCCCTCTGCCTTCAAACGACTGTAATGATTTTAATGTTATGCTGCAGCAGAATGAATTATCATCTGAAGCTATTTAATTAAGACATGTCACACAGCAAGCTAAGCCCCTTTGGCATCCGTAGGGAAAAAGTACTTGGAATGTTAGGTTCCTGATAAAGTAGAGGCTTTTGCATCTTCATGACTGATGTTGCAGTCGCCATGCAGTGGTAAGAATGAGCTTTGATATTAAGTCTGCTGCTGCAAAGCTCATTTAATTTCCTGTTACTGATGAACAATAAGCCCGTGTGGTAAGATTGCAGGTAGTAATTGCGATGCATGCCTCAGGTATTGCTGCTGTGAAGTACTTGCATGAATCCTATTCAGGTGATGCACCCAAATTCAAGTTCCATGCAGGTAACTACTTAATTGCATAACAGCTCCATTTGTTTGGTTTTCTGAGAGGTAATAATGCCAGTTTAATGTTATTGCTGGTGTGGTCAGTTGTAAGCTAAAGACTGAATTAATTTCTTGGAACTGCAAAAGCAGCAGAGAAGTCAGAGATGTAGACAGAGCTGATTGTCTTTTATTCTGGGTGGAGTAGATGCTTTCTGCATGACTTCATTATGTGCTTGCAAACCACAAGATTTCTGTTACAGCTGAGTAACTCCTGCAAAAAGCTCTGTTGCCTTGTCTGAGATCAGTCTCTCAGGTGACAGTGGATGAAGTATTTAAACAGCTAGCGTTATGTATGCACAGGCATATGTGCATGTAGAAGTGGGGAGGGTAAAGGGCAAGTTTTGTCCAGCACTGGCGCTTGTACCATTTATCTCATTGTGGTTTTGGCAAAGAAAATGTTGCTCAGACTTAAGGCCCACAGGGGCTTGGAAGCTGGCTGGTTAGATCTTCTCTGTGGCTGCCCTTCACCTTCTTTCTGTTTCCTCCAGTCTGACCCAGACTTGCCTCCTGAACCTCAGACTTCATCCTCAGCTGATGTGGGGAAGTTCCCCGGCTTGCCTTCCCACCCAGTCTCCCAGTATGTCCCACCACAGCCATCCATTGAAGAGGCACGGCAAACCATGCACTCGCTGCTGGATGATGCTTTTGCACTGGTGGCTCCCAGCAGCCAAGCAACCAATTCCACGGCCATCGCACCACCCGGGGTCTCTGCAGGACAGCCGGTAAACAACACTCCTGCTCGAGCAGGGAGGGGAACCACATGCACCCAGTGGGGATCACCTTATGGTCCAACTCAGGCAGTAAACAACCCATTTAATGTGAGTGATGCAATTTAAAAGGCTTTTCTGGGCAGGTAGTTTGCACCAGTTGAGCCATGATCACTGTTGTTGTGCCCTTGCCATCAGGACTTACCACAAATGTGGAACAGTTTCTGAAACCAGGAGAATTCAGGAATGACCATCAAAAGATGGTGAACTTGCTTTTTCAGCAATACATTTAGATTCTTTTCCCCTTTCCCATCCCAACCACAGAAGAAGATAGGAGTTTTTCTTTAGGATAACTTTTCTGTTCTTCTCAGTTATAATCTTTCACAGAGCAGTCTTGTTATGTCCAAGAGTAAAACTTTTTTTTTAAAATGCATGTGCTAGTTCATATTTTGACAATGAAAAAAGAATGTATTTGGCTTAGGTCATATTTTTCAGCAGGGTATTCAAAAGCTTTCAGGAAGCGAGGGATAGGGAAGCAGTATTTCTGTGTATGATTTTTTGCATTATGTGGAGCACCAAGACACATGGATAATCTTTCAGATCATCTCAAGTTCTGTAACAATTCAATACAAGTTTCAGAATGCTATTGGACTGTTCAGTCCAAGTCCTGTGGTCTCTGCTGCAATCTGCTGCTGGTTGAGGTATAAAGAGATCTCCAAATACAAAGCTTGGTTTGCTGAAAGTTTTAAGCGAAGTAAACTTTGGAGAAGTCCTTGATCTTCTGCAAGTGAGAGGAAGTATTTCTGAAAGGTTCTTAAGTTGAGCCTCTGATGAGACAGAAGAGACTGCTAACCACTGTACCAGCGATTCACAGATCTTCTTGTGCTTCTGGGTTTGTATAACCAAGCTCTTACGGATGCAATCAAGTCAAACATACAGACCTAGTGATCTCTGCCATTCACCACTTAAAAGGCTAACCGTGGACTTCCCAGGGTATGCATTTTTATTTTAATTTGGTGGTTTTTGTTCTTCTCACAGAGATACGTGGAATTTGGAATGACTCCGCCAACAGCACCAGGTCTCCTACCAAGGTAGCTTTTCGCTGATAGAATTATCATTTAATATTCTCCTTGCAATTCCTCCAGAGTTCTTACTGGCACTGATATATTATTATGCAAAGTACTGTATAAATGAGAAGTAACAGGAGTCCAGATCCAGCCTGTGTAATTTATTTATGTAGCATGAATGACATACATATGCTGTATGGAATCCAAGCCTCCATTTAAAAGAAATATGTTTCTAGCCCCTTGGCTATAGAGATATCCTTCCAAACACTGAGTAAACCACTGAGTTTCAGTTTTTAGAGTGCCTGAAACAGTTACGCAGATGCATGTCATTCTCCCAGTACTCTTGCTTTCATCTTGTTTCTGTAGCTTCAGGGCAACGCTCATTCTCAAAAGCTTTCAGATGGCTAACAGATTCATTCTATTTTTAACCAAGCTGAGAACAAATTACAGAGCATGGTGACCCTCCCAGAGAAAACCTGCCCGGCAGGCCTATTATTATAAAATCAGGGGAAAGAAGAAATTTTCCATCTTCTCCTGGTCTTGCTGTGGGAGAATCATGTAAAGAGAAGAAAACAGTTGTCCAGGTGACTGTTAATTCCACATTTGGTGTCTGTGTTTTAACTACCTGCAAAGTTGGACTCTTGAGTCATGGTACCCACTGTGGTCAGACTTGTATCACCCTCTCCAGACTGCTGCAACTCACCAAGGTGGTAAAATGGTGGCCTTGAGCTGCTCTCCCACTACCTTCTTACAGCTCTCCATGTGAGATGAAATCCCACTGGTATCCATATCATTCATTAGATTTCGCCTGAAGTCTTTGCTGCCTTGCAAACTTGATGGTAAAATGGCTATGAAGAACTTGCCTTTACCCATTCTTCTGCAACCTGATTTATGAAAGGGACAACTCTAATAGGAAGAGGCTCTAAGCACATTTCCTTACTTAGGACTTGGCTGAAGGTGACATTCTCAGTGTGAGTGGAGTATACATGAAATGGCATACAGTATGACATGCAGTGTATTTTTTGTAATTTAGGTTACCTTGAAGATTGAGCTTTGGAACTGCCAACACAAAGCATAACAAATTGTTTGTTAGTGAGGATTTTCTCCTTGTTGGCCTGTTACACATTCAGGGAAAATGTGATAAATTAATCATGAAAGTGCTGTAACCCGTGTTAATACAGCTGAGCAAGATAGTGTCTTTGCAACGTGTTTTTTACTCAAAAGTTTATCAACATTTGGTATAGGCACTTTGGATTTCTGTAAATTACAAATGAATGGCATCATTATTAATAGTGCAAATTCTGGCAGATTAAGCTAACAATCTGCAAGGTCGTTGACTTTAACAGGAAGAATTCCTGTTAGAAGGCTTCCTAAAGCTTGGTAGTGGAGAGTTGTCATGCTTGTGGAGTGAGGGTTATGCTCAAATTCAGATGATAATGGTAAATCAATAGAAACAGTGCACCAATTAGAGGAAGGAAAAATAACCTGAGGTCAGTATGATTAGGTGGCATGTATCAATGTCATAGTCCATTGGCTTAATATCCAGTGCATGGAGTAATAGTTGTGTGACTGTACTGTTCCCTTCTCTGTACAAACACAGCATCTTTAATGGGGTGGAACCAGCCTGGGTAGAAAAAAAAGTGAATGTAAAAGACCTAGGTCACGTAACACCTAGGCAAACATGAAGGCACAATGAACAGCTTTTACCAGAAAATTAGTATTGCGTCATGCAGCAGACGTAGAGATACTTAGTCATAGTGGATTAGTGGTGTAAATTTGATTTTTGGGGTGGTATCTCCCCACTTAAATAAATAACTGGAGATTAATGCTTTTTTTAATGAGCAAAGATGAAAGCTGTGTCTCTGTCTGGAAACAGGAAGAAGCACTAGAAAGCCTCTGTGGCACAGATTCAGAGCTGTATCCCATTTTTATACTCTTTGTGTTGATCTCTGATGATAAACAGTAGCTATATCTATTATAAAGAAGACAGAGAAGAGAGGGTCATGGGTTATTAAATATGCACCTCTCAAGTACAAATCCATCAGCAGTAAAGGATATACTTCCTTTCTTCTGAAAAACTGGCACAAAACCAATACATTTGCAGGAGTATATTTGAGAAAATATTTTCTTTAGACAACATGAAAAAATTAGTAGTACTTTATCAGCTACAATATTCCAGCTCAGCACTGCAGTCATAAAGGGCCAGATGATCACATCCTTTACTGGTTACAGTGACTAATATAAGTGATATTGTTAAACATTACCTACCCATTCAAGCACTTATTTTAACTAGCTTCTAAGTCTGATTGGAAATGGTTTCCTTTGGGTTTGCTGAGTGGACAGGTGGGATTGCATGCAAGGGAGCCAGGGAAATTTTGGCACTTCCACAATGGGATTGTTGCAGCTTGAACCCCGTACACCGCCTCCATTTAATGCTGTATGCCAAGTACCTAGTACTTTAACTTACAATTGCTTGTCTGTTTTTTATTAGGCTCTTATTTGGCTTTATTAGGCTATTTATTAATGTCAACTTTCAATGCTATCTGGCTGTCATACAAAGGTAGGTAGTTTTCCAAATGAAGCACGAATCAAGAACAGTTTGAATTGGGTGCAGTCACAGGATTTTCCTGTAAAACAAAGGGGTGTAAAACTGAGTTCTTGAGGAATGGGATAGACTGCAGTCCATAGCCTAGAAGGGGTTAGATTCAGATGTGGTAAATGGCATAGCAAACTTGTCCCTAGTCCTTACTGCATGTAATTTCATGTGCCTGACTTAGGGTGTTTGTCTCACTTAGCTTCCTTTATACTCATCAGTGAGAGGCTCCTGCAGAAAATGATATAGTGAACCTAATCTTTTGCTTTGAATGCCTCTTGAGGAGCATGTCTATCTTCTTTGATCATACCTGGAGTCTCTTTAAGAGAGACTAGCCAAGTAACCTAAGCATGTGAAGTTTGAGCATCCACACCTCCACCATATCGACAGGAATCAATAATCCTTGAAAACTCAGCTGCCATCAGTCTTCTAAAATATAATCTCTCCATGCCAGGACTAAGATATGTTAATAGGAAACATAGGAAAAGCAGCTGTTCCATCTCCTTCTCTACTCCTGTTCTGAGAATGAATTATAGGGTTCCTTTTACAAGTCCCATTACCTTGGCACAATTTATGAAGTGACTATGCCTCCCGATTTGTGTGCCCAGAAACTCTTGAGTAAGAGTCAGATTTGTTGCTGAGGTAAGCAGCTACATCACTACTGAAGTCTTATTTTTCTGTTTTTCTTTTTCATTGAAGATACTTTCTTCTCCAAGGAGAAAACAACATCTGTGGACTTTTTTCTCTGCATTGAGGATACTGTAGCATGTGAAAAACATGTGTGTGAAGTTTTGTTAAGAGTTTGTAACTCTTACTGTAGTGCAGTGCAGGTCATGAAGGAGGAATGTATTCCTCAGATGTAATTATTTTCCTTAACATTTGAGGTTAAAATGTATGAGAAAAAGCATCATAAAGAGTTCTTGTATGAGGTACACCTGTATTACTGTTTCCAGTTAGGGAGTTCACTTCTTGTAATCTTGAGTCCTTACTTTTCCACAGGCAGAACTTTGGGCCAGGTTTTCTTCAGCCTGCAGAGTTAATGCACCCAGACCAGCAGCCACCTGAGGTTCAGTATTCCTCCAGAGGGATATACTCAGAGGAAATGCCATCAGTGGCACGGCCACGACCAGTTGGAAGCACTGCAGGTACACTTTACTTAAGTTGAATATGTGCTAAAATAACTGATCGTTTTCTGTATCTACTCTTACACTGAGGTCACCGTTAAGACATCAGTCTCCTTCAGCTGCTACACTTGAAATGTGATTCTTGTCTCCACTGCCGAAAAAAGTGATCACAAAGTGAGGTTAACTTTGTATCCATAGGACCTTGCAAAAAAACTCAGTGCTTTGCCACCTTTTTAGTATCTCAAGAGCATTGGTTATCACACAGCATATTTTCAAAAAACCCCTTTCTCTAAAAATGGACAATTACTTGTTTTAGAGCATACAGTGGATGCTAACTTCCCACTGCCAACTATTTTATTGTACTAAATGAGCTAACTAATGCATCCCAAATCAGCCTGCTAAATAGCAAATCTTTTTAATACTTCTCTGCATCTTTATTTCTAATTTCTCATCCTAGAAACATGCATAAAAGCAGGATCTTTTAGCTTCTGATGATATTATCTATTGCTGCTCTCCTGTATAAAATCTTCCCTTCCCTGATTCGGTTGAGGTAATTTCTGTAGCACTCATCAATGCTATCATGAATAAGATTCTAACGTCACATGGCAATTAAGCAGCGAACACTGATTCTAAGAATAAAAGATTCTATTCTTATGCAAATGCCACGGTTAATTTTCTCCCAGAGAAATGTTTCCTTCCTCGGGAGTTGGAAAAGACTGAAAATACAATCATATACTCCTGTCAGAGGCCTAGTTTTGATAGCTGCTATCCTCTCCCTGTAAATGTTAAATGAATGTGAATGACAGGGATGTAGTGACTGCTACAGTTTAATGATGATTGTGTTATTGTCCGATTCACACTATTCTCTAAATGTTCATGTATATTCTGCTTGAAAGTTTGGAGGCAATTCAGATGATTAGTTCCTGTCCTTCAGCATAATTATGTGCAAATATCAAACTTCTCAAATATTGGGATTTTTTTGAGAGGAAAATATGGAAGTGACCTAAATGTCCATCTGTTGTTTTTGTCTTTTCCTCCCTTTTTGTACATATGCACACAGTTTTCTCTTATGTATCTGTGGGTTTATTAAATGTGTTTCGTTTCTAATGAATAATAAAATACTATAATAATAATAATAAAATAAATTTTGTTTCCCTGTGGGAGGAAATTCAGGAAAAAGGGAAGCTGGCATGTTGTTACATATCTCTTGCAATTAATGGTGGTGGCTATCCTTGCATGTGTTTGAAAACAGCAGGAGGGGAGGGAAGGGAAGAGAAAAGAAAAGAGAAAGGAGGAGGTTAGCTTTCAGGCTGAAAGGAGATACAGTGTGTTCTGACCTTCTCGTTAGTCAACGACAGCATCGTTTAATATTTAACCACAAAGCAAAGCTGAAAGAACTATACTCTTTTATAGTCATGTATTTTATTCTCCTGAGAGATGGAATAGAAAGCAGTCTGGAGAGTTAGGGTCTTGCCAGTGTGATGCAAATAAGGTGTACCACAGAAGCAAATGTCTTCTCTTTGCTGCTAAGTAATTTACATGAAAGCATTGCCAGGGCTTTCAGTAAACGCTGTTTGGAAAGGGCTGGCATATTTTTGGAATGAAGCGTAGTCCATGTCTGAGACGCATGTATCTCAACCTCTTCTTTTCTGTGCAGTGGCAATGGAAAGCATCACACTCAAACTGCACAAAATGCACATAACTTTTCCTTCTTTATTCTACACTGAAGCCTTCTTTCTGCTGATTTTTTTTTTTTTTATTAATTGCACAGAAACAGAGCTCCAATTTCTTCTTTTTTCCTGCTTCCAACAAAGTTTTATGTTGTCATTTGTCTGCCCTACAAACTTAACTGTGTATAAAGATGAAAAAACAATATTTGCTTTTAAGGTTCTCAGATACAGCACCTCACTCAGGTGGGAATTGCTAGCAGGATCGGAGGTCAACAAGTGGAGATCCCCTCAGGCAGAGCAGGGCATGGCCAGCCGGGGGGGCCAGGGTGGCCCCAGTACCGTGGAGAGGATGAATATGCTAGGCGAGATGCAGTGAGTACTGTGTTACACATTTGCATAGTTTCCAAAGTAGTGATGATATGTTCGGGTATATTTTTTTCCTGCATTATTACTGTTTGGAACTTTTTTCCCCTGGAATACTTTCAGTTGCTTCTCTGACATTCTTTGCTTTGCTCTTCGAACCCTTGTTAGCTCTTTTAACTTTTGCTTGCTGTCACCTTTGCTTCTCTCTAACTGCTTTCTCTCACTTTACCCTAACCTGTTTTTTTTTTTCTCACTTGAGGCCTTCACCCATTAATTGCAGTTCACCCAGTTCTGCTTCTGAGCTCCAGCAGAGGTGGATACTGCTTTCCATTTTCTTCTTTGAAATATGCCTCTGTATTTTGAGACCATTGTAAGTAGAAAAGTTGAATTAAATTGTCCCAGACTACCGTCCTACTTTGTATTGGTATAGTTCTTTTGTCTTACGTATCAGTGCACAACAGCAGGAGCCAGGGCAATGGAATAAGGTACATACTTATACGTAAAAGTAGAGGTGTTTCTAAACAAGTTATTTTACTAGCTTCCGTGAGCAGGATGTGGTAAATTAATATGTACTCATTTACGAGTGCTGCCTAGGCAGCCATCATGATTTCATGGTCTTGGCAGTGGTGCTTCTAGAAGTTGATTCAACCAGATGTGTGAGGTTGAAGATGGTATATGGCCTTTCCAGGAAAGATACAGCTGCCTGCTACCAGTCCATATTTGATTACTTGCATCCTGAAGCAGACTGACCTGTGACATCTTTGTTGAAGTGCTCTTAAGAACTTTATGCTCTTTCTTTTGCTCTTTTGCTCAAAAGATCATTTTTCTGGTTTCTTCCTTGAGGGAGGAAGGAAGGATCTCCTTCTTTTGCATACTTAAGGCAGTGTGTGTTCACACTACTTGAAGTTACTTTGCAGTACTGCATGATCTCAAAATGGCTTTGCAGAGAAGAAATGCAACAGGATATTCCTTCTCTCTAGATTTGGGTGTAGCCAAGCTGCCACTACTCCAGATCAGCTAGAGAGGAGCAGCATAAAGCTTTTGAGAACTTGGCATACATGAGACAAACTTTACTAATACTATTCAGAAATTTCAACTGTCAAAGCTGAAAGATGTATTTGCCTGATTTAACTTGCTATCTGTGCTTAGAACTGTGACATTTGAGTGCAAGAACATCATAATTTCAGTTTACATGTAGAAGAGCACTTGCATGAGAGATCTTAGTGTTGCTCCTGTTCCATTTTCAGAGGCATCTCTAGGTTACCATTCATTGCCCCTTATAACTTGTCTGTCTTCTCTGAAAATTAAATTTCTTTTCTAGATCTGTGGGCCTTTCCCTTCTGTCCCCCAAGTGCATGTTCAGCTGTTAATTTCTTAATATTTTATTATATGAATTTCAAATGTTACTGAGAATTCAATTACAGACCCGTTATCTAAGATGCTATGCAAGCTGTTGGGTTTGACATGTTACCTGCACAACTTTAAAAGATTCATGGCCCAGTACAACAAGATTTGGTTGCAGTTTGCATCTTCAGTCACTGTTTCGGATGGGTACATGTCACCTGAGGCCAGGTTGACTTAATTTATCAGAGTTTAAAACATTTCCTCAGCTTTGGCAGAACTTTTAGCTCACTGGTTGCTGCAGCTCTTACGTTATTGCAGTGTTGTATTTTTCAGTTTGTTCTTTTTAAAAATGAAAAAAAGGCAAAAGGAGGAGATCATGAACTAAAGCTATTAGAGTATGGTATCATTCAGTTGTAGGAGAGCTTATCTAGTGCCTGCACTTTCCTTTTCCTATGAGGAATTCTTTCTTTTTTTACAAAGGATCATTCCCATTTAAAAAAAAAAAAAAAAAAGAAAGCATTATTAGTTGAGTCTTTTATTTTTCTGTAGTTAAATAATTACCTTCAGAGTTTGGATTCCTTCAGTAGGACAGAGCTCTGAATTTGTCTTTTCTCCTTTTGGAAAGGAGGTTTTACTTTGTGATAGTTATATTCCTTATGGTGTGGTATTCTACTGATCCTTTGTAAACAGTCTTACTGTTCCCTCATTCTGAGCAAGTTTTCTGCTTTTAAGATGATTAGGCCTAGAGCATTCTTCTCGCCCAGAAACTCAAGAAGAGTCTGGATTTGTCTTCCAGCAATGGCCCTTTTCCTCACACTATCGTCAGCTATTATTCCTGGAGTTGACACCTGATTCTCCACCGAAACATGACCTCTCACTTGTATCTCCTCATCCAAAGCCAGTGTGCAGGTTATCATCAATTCACCTTAATTCTTCATCTAGAAGGCCTGGGAAACCAGGTTAATTACAGCATTTCTTTAGCTGACACAAAATACAGTACCGAGAAAGTGGTCATTTGAGCAGCAGAATAGATGAAACCTCGTTTCTTACAGATGTGTATTGTCTTGCATATCCACCTCCCTACCACCTCCTGGCATCATTTACTACCCTTCTACAATCCGTATAGCTCTCCACTGTTCTCCCAAGTCATCTTCAGATTTCCAGTGTTTCCCTCAAGCCACTCTTATCATTTTACTCTATTTTTATACTCTGGCTGCCCACTGTAGTATCTCCAAACCATCTCACCATACTTCAGGTTGTCTCTCATGTCCCCTAGCTAACCCCTGTGAGATACATGCTGGCTGACAGCTCTAGCTACGCACAGCCTAACTTGGCCTTTCTGCCACTCAGAAGCAGATTCGGTGATGGCACAAATCAGGGTATGCTAATTAGCTACCTATTTTTGTGGATTTTATGTATCTGTTCATACGTATATACTTGTGTGTATTTATCCATGCAATTCAGTTGAAATTGGCCACAAAGTTCAACAGTTATTAAATGGAGATTAAAAAATTCACAATGTCATCTCTTACATCTTCATTCCTTAAGAAGGAAGACTCAAAGATATTTTTGACAATTGTTTTGTACTGCTGTTAATTATACAGAAGTTTCTATATGAAAATAGGTCCTATATAAAACTATATATTGTTACCTAACTAATATTATATAATATATCAATGTGTATTTCTGAAAAGAAATTTGAAAATTAAAAAACTCAGCAAAAATTTTTCCAACCTTTTTACTCTCCTTATTTCACTGATGTAGTTTAGTATAGGTTAGGTTTCTAAGCCAGTCTGGTTTGATTTTGATGGTGCATAGAGATCACAGAAACACACACTTCTGTTTTTCTGAGGTATTTAAGAAAACTTTAATAGCCTTAATGTTAAAAAACAGCCACTGCAGCCATCAGATTTCTTCCTAACTTCCCTTAATAAACCACTCTTATGGTGGTAATTCAGTGCAGTATGTGATAGGAGCTGAATCATGTAATGCATTTTAATGTGAAAGTACCCTGAACGTAATTTAGGTTGCTGTTAAGACTCGTGTCAAGGAATGTTTGCTTTTCCTATTTTTCATGTCACCTCTTTCCTATAAACCCAGAGCATTTGTCAGGTTTACTAACTCTAGACTTCATATATGAATTAGTTTCAGGTTTCACTGCCAGATAAATAACTGAACAATCAAAAGACCCATTCATTCCTTTCTGGTATTAAAATCACCTTCCTTTTATAACTAGTAAGACAGGATGATACTTGGAAAACCACCTTTATCTATCATTCTTCTATTAAAGCCTCTTTTCTTCTTAATCTCTCTCCCCAAATTAACTGTGTAAATGATGAGTGCTTCACATGAGCTGTAAAAGAGAATCAGAATCTGTTATGAGCTCTACTTTATATAAAATGTCTTAGATCTTAGTAATTTATATTATGGGAGATGTTAAGGAGCTGCCAGTTACGCTAGGTCCCCCATATCCTTCCCAGGCTCTGCGCTGTAATCCTTTCTTTCCCCTCCCTCTCACCCCCAAATCCTCTTCTAGCTGACCTTGCAGTCCTTTCTTCCTTCATCAGATTGCTCTCTCTGCTACTGCTCAAGGCTAATCCACAGAGAAGGGTAGTTAGTGCTCACTAAATTGTGATAACTGTGACCTGAGCTTGCTGCAGTGAGCTGCTCTTCATCCCCAGCGCAGACCCTTTGGAAGGGGATTACGCTGCTTTGCTCGCAGCTGAGCGTTAAATATAGTGTGTTCAAGTCCTTTGTGTCCAGTGTTTTCTTCTGGCTCTCAGCCTTCAGCAGTACAAGGCAAGAGGGAACGCTTGCTTTAGGGATGGAATTTGGATTTTTTCACAATGTACCTCGCGTGTGCCCATACGGGAGTCCATGGAGTTGCCTAGTGTACTGTAAATTCATGCTCTGTTTTAGTGTAAGCAGATTTTTTTCCAGATAGACAAGCCCATAAACTCAGGCTTCTGTTTTGTTTCTCTCTTGTTTTGTTAGAAAATGTACCTTACAAACAAATGGAGAATTAACCCCTCTCTACCCTGAAACAATGATTGTCCCTAACCTGGGATAGATTTTCTTAGATATGTAAACCAGCTATTGAGTATAAAAAACTATACAGTCTTTCTGATTTTAATGATTTTCTCTTGCTGCTTTTTCTGTTGACCATGTTTTCCTGGGCACTGGTCAATCACAGGGTCCTCACAAGTGTACAGCCTGACCAGGCAAGCCAGGCAGAGAAGGGGAAAGTGAAAGTAGTAGTATCTCTATTTATAAGTAGTATGGAGAAATGACAGCTGGGAATAAAGTGATTTGTCTGTTGTCTTTTAGGAATTTGTTAGAAAGCCAAGGAAATAGAAGCCAATTCTGTTGAGTTCTAGTTCTGTGGGTTTTCTCCCCACCTCCTTCCACTGCAGTTTCTAAACATACCATAGATTAGTAAGGGGGTCAGGCTTTTTAATGGATGCTAAAGAGACTTTAAAAATCCCTGAACTTGAGGCAGTCCAACAGTTTTGTGTGCGCTTGTTGTTTTGTGCTCCATGAGAGGAATCATTCATCCATACAACTGAAGAACAGTGGCAGCAGATAGAAGCATCTCCATGTTGCTTTCCCTCTGTTCGTTGCGTTTTTGCTTTCTTGTCTTTTCTGAGATTATCATGTTTGTTCAGGAAGTACAATAACACTTTCTACCTTTTTCCAGACGCATACGCATGGACACCAAGAATATTCCTCCTCACCAGTATTCCCGATGCCGAGGACTTCAGCCAGGCAGCCCTCAGCACCCACTGCTCAGCTTCCACACAACAGCCTTCAGGGCCAGGGCCTTTGCTACACCACCAGTTCCACTGAGGACCTCCAGCCAGGTCACTCTTCAGCCTCTCTTATCAAAGCAATTAGAGAAGAACTTCTACGACTTTCTCAGAAACAGACAACAGTGCAGAACTTCCATAGTTGATTTAGCATTCCCTTGCAAATCTGCCATGTATCTGCTTCCTATGGAAGCAAAGACTTAGAGGAATTCAGCAATGTTGTTCTCTCACAAGAATGAACTTCACAGCTCTGTTGACCACACTCTGGAAAAACTGAAAAAGGCAGCACAATGAGGATAGTAGGGAGAGATGGGGGACAAACAGGGAAAATCATCGGTGTCATCACAAGTAGTATTAATCAATGCTAATATTACGGTGCTTCTCTTCTCTCCCTGCCCTCATTCAATGCAACATAAATAAAACCTTAGGTCAAGAACTCAATGCTCCAGCAACAAAAAAAAATCACTGAAACTCCAAGTATTATAGACTCCTTTTTCTAAAGAAGTAGGTGAAGGCTTGAATAAACTGAGATGACATTTTGCAAGAGATTGCAAATATTCTGATTCTCCACTGCTTATGGGGAACTGGGTTTTGTTGCTGTTCTGCAAGACTACAAACTGTATCAGCTCAAGGGTGTTGAAGGTGTGATTCCACCTAAGAATCACTTTGGTTGTCAGGAACAGTGGGACTACTTAGAGTAAAAGTCTTTATGAGCTACTTGTAACAAACTGGAACAATAGTTGTTATAGCTCTGTGCTTCCGAATGGAGCTACCCTCTGCACTCTTTCTTGTTTTCCTTCTGGTGCTGAAGCTTCAAGTGTTCCTTCATCTTCAATGTTTGCAAAGTGAAACATTGGCCTTGTATAACTAAGAAAATATCTGTAGTCTCATTCAGGCTGGAAAAACAAAGCAAAGCATCCAAACAGAAAGGGCTTGGTATTTATTTTGTTTCAAAATTACTGAAAACTGGGAGAGGAATACTCAGCCGCAGTTGAATTTGGGGCAATGTGTACATATGTCTTTAAACAGTATCTTTACATAGAATATGCTTTTGCAAGACCAGCGATAAAATATTGCCACTCTGTCGTTTGCTTTGTGGACAGAAACCAATCCAGCCTGACTGGTACAGGGTCACCAGCATTATGTTATAAATTGATGTCCTAAATCATTGCTTATGTTTGGATCTGAATAATTTTAGTGAAAGTCAGTGACAGTTTAGAGCATTAACTTAGGCTTAGATTTGCAGTTTCGAGACAGTTTCTATATTTATACAAGTTTCCACTGTCCCTTTGGACAAAGGGTGAGCATTCTCCCCATGGTAAGAACGGTACGTGCCATGGAACTGTTTGTCGCTGTTTTTTTCAGTTTTAATTTAATATTAGCTACGAATTTACTAATATTTGGCCATTGCATAACTGTAACTGACATAATACATACGGAAGTTTTACTTAATGATTTGTTGGAGTGTGTTTATTTTCACTAAAGGTAACAGAGCGACACAGAGATAGAGGGTAAGCTCAGCATCTGTGAGGATGCTTGGGAGCCTTGCTACTTGGTGCTACAGTGTGGGTGTTTCGAACACTAGGAGATGGTAGTTGTAAAAGGTCTATGGGATAGTAGTCTGCCAAAGAGATCACTGGGCAGTTGACCGTGGTAGGGCTGCATTTCCTTCACTCACTGGGGTAGAAATGGCATTGGTAAAACACAGGTATATAACACTGGTGTGGTATGGTGGTCGCTGGCTACCAAATCTGTTCTTGGTTCTAGCGCACAGTTCGCTAACTGTGACAGAACTAACTCAGACTGAAATGAAAACAGGTAGGTGGGCACCATGAAAAAAACCTATGTACCTTGTTCATGAAGTGTGTACATAATATTCATTGTCAAAGCCAAAGCTAGGAAGTGACTGGCTGCTCACTGATGCGGAAAAAAAGGTGGTATGTTCCTCTTTATTAGAAAGCTGAGTTATTTTTTCTGTTTATACATGATCATCAAAAGGCTGTATGAAATTGTTTTGAGGGATTTATTGTAGTGAAGCAGTCTACTACTTAAAGTCTTTATGGGCACTGGTTGAGACGTGTATGGAGTCAGAACACCAGCATGGTTGTGAACAGCAGTACTAACAGGTTATGATGTCTTGAATTTTTTAAGCTTTTTGTGTGGTAATCACTTCCAGGATAAAAATAAAGAAACGTTTATTTTCTGCCAAGTTTGTAAACACAAATGTTGCCAGCACTTCTGCAAAGCGTCAGGTTTTGAACAATGAAGAATGTATCAATCAGGCAATGTTCATTTGGTCTTTTTGACAATGCTGAATACTGACTGTTCCTGTGCTCTGATTAAAACGATCTTTTCCAGAGCCCACGTCCTTCTCCAGCCTAATTCTGCAGTGAGGTCAAAGGCCAGTGCTTATAATATTTACATGTTACTGTGATTTCATTTCAAGAAAATGTGAGCCTCTAGAAAGTAAGTTCATTGTCTGGTTGCTGGTGCCAGCTATTTAAGAAGGAATATGAAATAAGAGCTTTGAAAGTCTGAGGTACTTAAGCCATTCCTCATTCATTTTTGATGGTGATGGTGATTCTAATGTGATATTCCATCTTTTAATGTTTGGAAGAATACCCTTTTTCGTTTTCAGTCCCAAATCTTCCAAAGAACGTGGGATACAGGACAAATATGTACTGGTAAATAAAAGAGGCTTTCTGATGCAAAAAAATCCCTTTAAAACTTTACAAGTTCATGGGGCAGGACAGTAAAATCTAAGTTGGAAAGCTGTGTTTGGAAGTTGTTTAGGGCAGAGAATTCTGTTTAACAATGCTGTGTTCTCAAACTGTCTGGAGACCTGTTCACAAAAAACCAGTATGGCATAATCTGTATCTTCATCTGATAAGAAAAGTAACACATAAAGCACCGTTTCCAAGGATGGTCTTAACAAGGGAGACCCACACTGTAATCAGTGCAGCTCCAGGAAAAGTTGGGTTTTTCATGTGCTGCAGAAGGACTGTGTAGAATGCATGTGCCAAAATGTGTGTTTCCACTTGGGAATTCAGGGGAAAAATAATCTGTAAGCTTCTACAGCCCCATGTGCTTGAGCTCTTTTGCCAGTGTTTTTTATTGCCCTGATAGAAGGGAGGGGAATGGGAACCAAACCTTTTTTTTCTGAAACTTGAAATATCCTGAATTTAAGTATCTGTTAATGAATCTACGAGTTTCTGAAAACACTTGATCAGATGAGAAGCTGGTATGGGCACAGAAAGCTGTTACCAACAGTTACATCCATTTCCATGACTAAACCATCTGGTTCATGGAATCCTCAGGCTCTTCTCTTTCTTCTCAATTTTCCTTGACATTTGTGTTTAGTCTGTGTTTAGTTTGGCATATAGAAGAACTTGGCAAGGTGGAAACTATGCAATTTAGTTCGGTTGGTTTGCTTTTCCTTTTCATGGCCAAAATGTTGACCTCTAGCCTGCTCCTTGATTATCCTTGGAGCTAAGTGCAATTTACAATTATTTTTCATACACTCAATTTGAAAGGCAGCACACACTTCAGTGCTATAAAATACTCTCCACCAGGATGTAATACATGGTCCTGTCAGCGGCTGTGGGCATATGACTCGGGAAAGAAAACCTTACTTTTAGGAGTGAATTGCATAGGTGCTGGACTTACCATGTTAAATATGCTCACTTTGGAGCAGTAAGTGGAATTTAAGTGACCCTTTGCAATGTATTGTACTTGCAGTGGTTTGGAACAGTCTTCAGATACAGTGGTTGGAGAGCAGCAGCCTCACATGAGGTCTATGTATCACCTCTGTGCCCAAAGGAGTGGTTGGTGAGATGCAGCTGCCCCAATGTCATGCACATTTATGCACACACATAAATACGTAAATAGATTGATCACCCAAAAGTGCATGTTCCTACCAAGTGCTGAAGCCAGTGCCTTTAAGTTAGACCACCGACAGCAGGGCTACAGTGCTCTCTTAAAAGAGGTTGTTGATAGGGATCATAACTTCTCAAGAACCAAAATGACTGACACTGTCATGTGCAAACTCACAGCTTGAAAACACATCAAGTGGATTAAACAAAGAAACTAATATGTATTTGAGCCCAAGTGAAGTCACCAGTTGTGCGATGCGGATGGCAGTTGAACTCGTCTCTTAACTCTTGCCCTCGCTAATTCTCCCCTTTCCCAGCTTTAACACTTTTCCAGCTCAAGGAAGAAATGGGCATTTCCCGTGCCATGCCTTACCTAGCAGTTATTTGTTAACAGGTGCCAGTCCTTGGAAAAAACATCTTGGCCAAGAGCTTTGAAGTGTCAGGATGAAGAACATTTGTGACTTTGAGGTGGAAACATGTTGTGGGACATGTTTTTGCAGCAGCAAAAGAAATAAATGGATTAAAAAGTTAAAAAAACACCACCTGTTTGGTGTATTCTGAATATGGACATAAAGCTGGAAATGGATTAAAAGAAAAAGGATGGCATCTGATTGTCAGAAGGCAAAGGACAGCAGCCAGGTCTCCTGGACCACCTGTGACAGTGCACTGAAAAGAGAGAAAGAGTCTTGGGGCTCCCCCTGCCACCCCTCAAGCAGATTCATGAACACAACCCCTGTTCTGTGCAGTCCTTCACCACTTGTGATGCTGGTTTGCACAAGTGAGAAACATTTCCTATCAGTCACTCCCAAAAGCAGTTGACCAAGTCTGTAGGGTTTCTCCAAGACTTTAGATATGCCTAGAGAAAAGTAGCAGCATAAAGTTCCCTTTATGGTGGGCATCTTTCCCTCTCCCATTACATTTATTTACAAATGAGGGAGAAAGCTTGGGGATGTACTGTACTGTCACTAGTCTGCTTGTCAGGCATGTACTCCGCTGTCCATAGGTCCTAAATACTGAGGAAGCAGAATTTGGGAATTAAAGATTTTCGCAATGCCAGTGAACATTCACTGTAGTTTTGCAGTGGTTTGGTGTGAGTGCACTTGAGTGCTTGAAAAGTCTGGTATCTGTCTTACAGCGAGTGTTGTCCCATGAAATGCAGCTTATGTCAGAAGGACTGTAAAAGTTTTCTTCCATCTCTCTGACACCAGTTCAACGAGGGCAGAACAAGCTCAGCTTGTGACAGCTCATACCAACAGGATTGGGATTTCGGAGCCAAGTGCTGGTCTGCGTATTGTCCCTGGTCGCATCTGCATGATGCATTTAGTTGCACATATGCTTTGGAAGGAGAATTTATCCTACAAATTCCTTAGTACAGTTTAGGATGCACTTGGCAAGATGTGTCTAGCTTTGACGTACAAGTCCCAGGATGAGTTTACTTGCCCTGAGAGCAAGAAACTTGAAGCAAAAATCCTGCCTTTTGAAAGAGACTTTTTCCAGGGTCGGACTGCAGTCCTGTGAATCCCACTGAAGACTGACAGATGAAAACGAAGTGACATTAGTACTAGAAAAATACACATTTATTTG